AGCTAGACCCACAGCCCACCCTCCCCAACAGCTTCACTGGCAACTGTTGCAGTCACTGTGGCGACGCCGATTGCCACTAAGCATGATGATGCAGCACCCGGACCCTCATCGAGAAGAAAATTGCCAGTAGCACGCCCCGTTGAAATTGAAAACTTCTTCAGCGCAAGGCTCGCCACAAAAATGGCCAGTAGAAACGCCCATTAAATGTCAGAAGCGCCGCCGCGACACATGATGATGAAGCACCCCTTGTCGCGATGAAAACTGCCAGAAGCACGCCCCATTAATGTTTGCAAACATCTTCAACGCAATAGCCCGCGACGAAAATGGCCAGTAGGAAACCCCATTAAATTTAAAATTGCATTTCACAGGAGTGAACCAAAAGTGGCATATGCATCTAAACCAGCTGACTCGTAATCGCTGTGGTGTGCATCGCCAATCACACAGCACCTGATTTCTCCAAGTCAAACTCGCGAAGTCGACATCCAGTTGCGGCTTGCTTGAGTTATGGCTTTGAACCGCCCCAAGCCATGCTTGGCATTCTCCACCAGAAGCTTCTTGAATTTCATCTGCAGTGCCCGTTCCTTTGGGCAACCGCCGAAAAGTGAGGCAGCATGGTTGACGTTCATCGGCCAAAGCTCGATTCGCAACCACCATGTGACCAGTGCCTCAATCACTAGCGGCGTTTCAGTTGAAAGCCGCCCAGGAGAGCCAGCGCCTATGAACCACAAGCATTTCCAGCTTTCGGTTATCTCCTGCACCAACGCCCCCCTAAAGCCCCCGGCGATGTAGATGACCACTAGTAATGCTGCATTGCAGTTCCCTCAAAAATTATTTCGAAGCCTTGAATTCCAAATCTGTGCATCTTTAAATCCCGAAATATACTTGCGGATGCAATAAAAAGTACACAGATGCCGTTCGCAACGGGCCCCGAAACAGCTCGATGTCCGAAAGGAGTCGTTCTTACCCGGGACTATATTGATTTCATTTGCTACCTGCCGTTGGTTACGACCGCAACTTGGCAAGCAACAGCTTCGAACTAGGACTTGTGCAGCGTTTTCCTCTCCAGGTACTGTTTCACCCAGGTGGCTTTCTTCTCACGAGAATTACCCTATCTTTTCACGCAACATCCTTCGTTACCCGCGATTCCCATTGCCAGTACTGAATGTCATTATGCAAAAGGTGACGAATTTCAACAATCATAAAAGTCGGATGTTGACTATCACCCATCAGTGGCTTTTGATAAGACCCTGCGATTTCCACATCCCTCTCCTTGATGTTCTTCTTCATGAAGTAGCCGCTCCAGCACAGGAGATTCAGGGCTTGGGCAATTTCCCAGCCTAAGATTGTCACGCTGTTGTCGCGGATGATCATAGCGGCCTTCTGTTGGCGCTCTATCTCGTTGACGTTTCGAGTGCCCCTTGTCGCAACGAGCAGAACGCTCCGCTGCGAAGTTCCGTTGTTTGAAGCACCTCTATGGGCATCTCACGCCGCAAAAGCTGCACAGAGCAGGCTCCATTCACTGCAAATCCAGCCATTGACTCCCTCTCGCAGGTCTTCACCACTGGTTCTTAGAACCTCTTAACTCCTAGTTGCTCTGCAACACACTGTCCTGAGAAATTTTTTCGGGGCCTCGTAGCCGAAATCTGTGCGGCAAAAAATTTGCAAATATAATTGTGGATGCAATAAAAAGTACAAAGCTACCTGCTCGAACGGTCGCCGAATGTGAACAATGTCGATTTTCAATCCTTGTTGGCCTGGACTATATTGAATTAAATTGCTTCCCGTCCTTTGCCATTTCTGCGGCCTTTTGCTGCTGTTTCCCGCGGGGGGTTGTCCGGCCGGCACGCGCCGATTAAATTTAACCGGCCCGGCTTGAAGCACCGTGCTCTTGACTGCCCCGGGCTTTATCCACGAGGAGGGGGAGGATAGGGGTGGGGATGGAGCATCGCCATCCCACACACACGTGGTTTATTCAACCTACACCCTAAACCCTAAACCCTAAACCCCTGAACCCTAAACCCTAAACCCTTAAGCCTAAACCCTATACCCTAAACCCTGAACCCTAAACCCTAAACCCTAAACCCCGAAACCCTAAACCCTAAACCCTAAATCCTACACCTCAACAGCAAGGCCCCCGGCCCAGGTTCCGCAGCTCTTTGTAGAGGCACTTGTAGGCCTGGGCCGGATCTCAGATGCTTGCAGAAGAGGGACTTAGTAAGGGTTCTTCAAGGGCTCCTTAAAAGGGATCTATAGGGTTCCTTAAAAGGGATCTATAGGGTTTCGTTGAGGGTTTAGGGTCTACTTGGAGGATCAGGGGACTTGGTATATAAGGTTATGAAAGGGTGCCTGAAAGGGATCTATAGGGGCTCCTTAAAGGGATCTATAGGGTTTTGGGTTTAGGGTCTACTTGGAGGATCAGGGGACTTGGCAAGTCAGGCTATGAAAAGGGTTCCTTAAAGGGATCTATAGGGGTTCCTTCAAGTGATCTATAGGGTTTAGGGTCTACTTGGACTTGGTAAGGTTATGAAAGGGTTCCTAAAAGGGACCTATAGGGGCTCTTAAAGGGATCTATAGGGTTTGGGATTTAGGGTCTACTTGGAGGATCATGGGAGTTGGCAAGTAAGGTTATAAGCCCCCTAACTGGGGTTATAAGTACTTATAAGTAGAGTTACCTTAGTTTTAACCCTAGTTACTAAGCCCCATGATCCTTTAAGTGTGATATAAGGATCTTACCAAATTCAGAGTTGGGGTCTTGAAAAGGTTCTAGCAGGGTTGTTGTGAGGGTTCTCACAAGTCTTGGTAGCGGGGTCTAAATATTAGAATAGGTTTTGGGGGCTATAATGCAGCAATTTTTGGTGCCTGAATATTTAGAATAGGGTTTTGGGTCCCATTATACTCTAACTAAGATAAGGAACCCCCAAGATAGTATTGGTAGTGACCTGGGCCCCGATATTACCCTGAACCTCGCCACCTTTCCAGGAGAAGGACTGAGGACGACGACTGGGGAAGCAACGATGCTTGCTGTCGCATGAGGCCCACCCAAGAGTCTCCATGATAGTAGGATCCATAATAACATGATTTGAGGTATGGGTGGTTGTAAAAATTGTGGTCCCTTTTCGGGTACCCTAAATATTAGGTGCCGAATTCTAATAAGGACCCAAAAAGGGACCATAGTTTTGACAACCACCCATATGGGTAGTTGTCAAAACTAGGGTCCCTTTTTGGGTCCTTATTATAGTACGGCACCATATACTGTGGTTGTCAAAAAGGTACCCTAATTTTGACAACCACCCATATATTTCATTAGGTAATTAAAGGATTTTGGAACGGCATATTGGTGTCGGATACCAGAGCAGTGGCTTGCTGCTTCTTAAGCTACGGAGCTCATGGTAGCCATACTGGGACGCCATCGGTCAGACCCTAAGCCCTAAGACTAAGACCCCCCATACCCTAAGCCCTAACCCTAAACCCTAAACCCTAAACGCTAAACCCCCCAAACCCTAAGCCCATGGTCAGCGACGGAATAGCAAAGCTCCTGTCCGAACCAGGCTGAAAGCTTCGCCTGAATCTCAATATAAGGGGTTGATGATTAGGAATAGGGTTTGGGGGTATATTATTGTCATGTAGTGACATAGGTTATTCAGACCCCACATTTGCTGACAACTTGGATGCAAGCCTCCGCCTTTCTCGAGCCACGGCCAGGATTCGGGGGGTCTTGATTTTGGAGATGAAGATTTTGGTGCTTCGAAACGAGTTACTATGGACTACGGCTGAGGGCTCAGGGTAGGGATGGGTGTCTAGGGTGTGGCACTTCGGGGAAAGGATGCCTGAACCAACAGCAAAGGTAGCCATACAGCGTTGCAGCACCAGTGTTTTGGAGAAAGCTCTCTGCCAAAGCACGGGAAAAGCCATTCCCGAAATTGCAGGGATGCCAAAAAGGCTGGAACCCTACTTGTCTACCAGCTGAATACTTTGTGGGTCCATCGATGTACCGCGCAGAGCACTTAGACCTTAGATACCTCAGATACTCCCTTTTTCACTACCACAGCGACGCCCTTGAAGCACTGCAGAAAAGGATCCGAGTCCTCGAAAAACGACCCCTGGACTTTAAATCCCCAAACCTTAAACCCTAAACCGTAAGCCCCAAACCCTAGACCCTAAACCCTAAACCCCATAAAGCCCTCTAGCCCTAAACCCTGAATCCCTAAACCCCAAGCCCTCCGCCAAATCGGCCTTGTCCCCGACCTCTTGCCAGCAGGCATATCGGCCCTCAGCATGGCCACTCCCACAAAGCACAAAGGACTTGGAAGAGGGCTGGGTAGCAGATTTCTACTTGTTGTGTAAAGAACGTACCACTGCTGGAGCTATGATGATAATGATGATGATGGTGATGATGACGACGAAGAGGATGATGCTGCAAGTGGTGGCGGTGGTGATGATGATGATGGTGATGATGATAGTGGTGGTGGTGATGGTGATGTAGATGGTGGTTGTGAGAACAGCAGTGCTGGTGCTGCTGCAGCTGGTGAAAGTCGTGCTGGGGGTTCCGGCTGTGCTTGCGGTGCTGGTGGATTACCCATCAGTGATTGTGGTGCTTGCTTCGGTGCTGCTGGTCGACGACGAACACAACCACGGCTAATGCATGCTAATTACTGCGTGTACTCGTCCTGTGCCCGTACTAGTAATAGTGTTATTTGTAGCAGTCGTCTTGTAGGACTGGTCGCCGTAGTGGCAGTACTTTCAGTGTACCGGGCAGTGCGTCGTACATTCGCAAGGTCATCTTCTGGCAGCGGCATCTCCGTGGTGGTCAAAACACGCGGCCAGTGCACCTCGCGCCGGCGCCTCCGGGGAGTAGCCCCTCGCAGACACCAACAGCGACAGAAAGTCCTTTGAAATCAGCACCTCCTTCAGGAGCGCTAAGGTTGCGGAATCGCCCCCTGGAAAATGCAAGTCAATGCAGATTAGGGCGGTTTGGGGACACGCCAGGGGCTGCTGAGCGGTCAATGCACGACCAAGATTTTGGTAAAGTCGTACTTGCCAGCCATCCCCCAAAATGCTACGGTGTCGTTCGGCGCTACATGCACAGGGCAGTGGTCGTAGCCAAAACAGAAGCGATCTCGTTCGAGATTGCCCGAAGAAGAACAGCCACAGGTCTCTGGACAAAACCAGGCCAAAGGCCGGAAAAGAGCTGGATTTCCCCTGCACCACTCGATGTTAAACACATCTACAGGATTGGCCAGCAAAGCCGGGCAGCCGGCGACCTTCGCCCAATTCACCCAGCCGATGAAAAGCTCCAGCCCCGGATTGAGGCCAGCGCGGCCAGTGTAGTCGAAGCCCCCATAGATCGAAGCAGCTTCCAAGTACCCATCCTGAACCACAGTTGGGACGGCGTTCAACGTGATCTTTCTGGCTCCGTATCGGGTAGCATCCAGCACATATGTATATACATACGCAGACATACATGCATGCATACATCCATACATCCACACATTCATACATTCATACATGCGTACATGCATACATGCGAACATGTATGCAAGCGTACATGCAAACACCTATGCAAGCATACATGTATACATGAATGAGTACATACATACTGCATACATGCATGCATGCATACATACATACATACATACAAAATTACATACATAATTACATACATACATACATACATACATACATACATACATACATACATACATACAACATAGATGCATGCATGCATACATACATACGTACATACGTGCATAAATACATACAGTTATAGACAGATAGATGCACGTATGTATGTATGTATGTATGTATGTATGCATTACATATGTACACATACATATGCCGATGCTACATTCCTTTGAACAGCGGCCCAGCATCCCAGAACTTCACCCAGCCGGGTCCGGGTGCTGCGTCCCGGCAGGCCAGCGGGGAGCTCGGGGGCACGTAGTAGTGCGGGTTACCCGGGTTCAGGCTGAAGCCATAGGCCTCCTGGCAACGGTTTAGGGTTTAGGGTTCAAGGTTTAGTGTTTGGGGTTTAAGGCTTAGTGTTTAGGGTTTGAGGTTTAGTGTTTAGGGTTTAAGGTTTAGGGTTTAAGGTTTCGGGTTCATGTTATGGGATTGTCCTGGATGCAGACTTGGAAGCAGCCCCACCTCTTCACGCGCAGCAGAGGCGACGCCAGGGGATCCGTGCAGCCACATACTCTCGGGCACGCCATACGCAGCAGAGTCCCCGCCTCTGTCACCGTGTCACAGAACTGCTCCATGTCCTGACAGCTCGTCACGTTCTCTTGTTCGAGCTGGAATGCTGCCATCCGCAGAAAGGCCGGGAGAAGTAGGCCTGATGAGTAGTCGGCATCATCATCCGCCGAGTAACAGGAGGAAGTCTCCCTTGCGAACTCATCCAGAGTGGCTTCTTTCGGGCTGCCCCACAAAGGAATCATACAAGGGACCTGCCAACAGTGCCCTGGTTGGCTAAGGCGTTCCCAGACCCTGCAAGTACGAAGCACAATGGCGCTGAGATTTTTCAGTTTGATATTGAGGCTCCTCCTAGCGAGCCCAAGGCCCTCTTGTAGGCAACCAAACTCTAAGACTTGACCATCAGAAGAGAGCTCAAAAAGCATCTGTCCTGCGACAACCACACAAGACGCTCCCTGTCAGGATCAGATTTGTTCCGGAAGGCCAAGTCCACCGCCACAATCTCACTGATGGTTTGGTTGGCCTGGTCCTCCATTTTACGTGTAACGAACCTTAGCTATTCCGGAGCCCCTTGAAGCACAACTGCGCGCTTCATAAGAGACTTGAACTCAGTGACGTTGGTTCTGCACCTTCATGTAGATCATGGCATCTGTTTGACAGGTGCCATACACAGCACTCCGTCCCTCATCTTAAGAAGGCATAATTATGCTTCGCAAGACCCAGGGTAAGCCTTCCCTCATGTCAGAAACAAGTCCCATACTAAATCAGTATATAATACTTCATTAAGAAGTTGCTTATAGAAAAAAAAGGTAGTAACATACAACATCATATGCAGCACATCATAGAAGACTTCTCAAAGACCAGAGACCCCAGGGACAGGCCGTCGTTGACGGAGGTGACGAAGTCCAAGTCGCCGAAGCAGAGCTCCCGCTTCGCGAGCAGCATCTGCACCGCGGTCGGGAGATCTCAAGAAAACTGGGTTTTTTTGTTTGAACCCTCTTTTCCGTCTGCCCAAAGGTTAGTTGGAATGCCAAGCTGGTTGAGGGGGTAAGTTCGGGAGAACACAGGGCTTAGGGTGTAGGGGTAAGGGTAAGGCAGAGCTTCTCCGGAGAAGAAACCACCCAAGACACATGCATTTTCGGGCGTCTCAAGACACTAGATACACTAGCAGCACCAGCACTCAAGCAGGATGAGCACCGCTCGGTTCCTGGTGCCAAGGGCAAAGAGGTTGGCCGACCCTAGATCGGACATGACGAAGGACTGGGCGACCGCCAAAGACTATTGAGGAAACATGATGAAACCAGTCGTCCGAAGAGCTGTGCAAGTGGCTCCCACATAAACCCCGTCATGATGATTTCGCGTTATATAGTTTCCCATGCTTGTGTCCTGACCCGGCCTGCTGCGACAAGGGCCGCAGCAGGAGCGCGTAAGGCAGCAGCAGCGATGCAGCCAAGAGGGATGCAAGCACCAGGTTCTCAGCACGGTGACAGCGGCGTGCGCGCCTCACCTGCACGGGAGGGAGCTCCTGAATCTGCTGCTGCAGCCTGGTCGGCAGAAGCCCGGAGAAGATGAACTCGTCCACGTGCAACACGGCCTCGAGCGCCACTGAGTTCAACATGAGTTCGGTGATGGACGTCGTGCCGGCCAACCAGAGGCTGCCTGCCACGAGCAGTGAACCACCAATGGCTGCGCGGCCTAAACACACGAAGGCCATGGCTGCGGCACGTCGGCCAGAAAGAGGCCGTTCTGAAGCTCCTGAACTTAGGAAGACGCCCTGCAAAACGAACCAGATGCTGCGGAACTCGCGGTAGATGCACAAGTTCCACAGCAAGATGCAAAGCACTGCCAGCAGAACCCCAGGCTCGAAAGTGGAGTCCTCGGACTGCTTGGAGGATCAGGAGACTTAGTAAGTAAGGTAATACGTCCCCTGAATGGGGTTATAAGTAATTATCAGTATAGTTACCTTATTTATAATCAAAGTTACTAAGTCCCATGATCCTTTCAGCGCCCTCAACCCCAACAGATCCCCTATAGAACCCTTTAAGGAGCCCTTTAAGGTTACTAAGTCCCCCTGATCCTCGAACTGCAGCGTGCTGAGGCCCAGGAAGCTGTTGATCTCGCCCACCAGCGCAGCCTGACCCGTGGAGAAGATCAGGGAGTCGTCTTCGTGGCAGACGCGCGTAGCCAGGCTCCTCTGTGCCAGGTCCATGTTCTTCGCATCGTGCGCAGAGCTCCGGCGCCAGATCCGAGCCCCTTCGACTTGCTCATCGAAGCCGTTGCCGAGGAAGGAAGGCGAAAGGAGGATGCTGGTGAAGAGGATCTGCATCGCGGCGTTCAGGAGCAGCAGCAAGATTGAGAAGATGCCGTCGGAGATGGACTGCCAAGTCAAAACCAGGGGTAAGCTCCAGGCACTCTTCCGATCGAAGCAGACCATGTTGACTTCACCAGAACTTTGCAGTTCCGTCGCACGTGTCTCGCCTGCTTTGGCGCCGACAGCCCCCTTCACTGCATCTTCCTGTCGCCCGAACCCGAACATCGTGGCGCTGCCCGAAGCCGTGATGTCCACGGCGTCTGCAATCGGATCCTTCTTGGCGTTCGTGCTCCGAGGGGATTTGTTGATTTCGGCGGAGTTCGCGAGGTCCACTGACTGCAGATCGACAAGCTCGACATCGACTGTGTTATTGTTGGATGGAACCACCGAGTTCAATCGCGCATCCAACCTCTGGATCTCGCTAGCAAGCTCCTCACGCAACTTGGCCAACGCGCAGTCCACGTACCCTCTGTCGGCGGGCACGCTCGGCATGTTGCTGGGCTGAGTGAGTCTGTCCAACAACCACGACCGATATGCAGCTGGAAATGGCCGCACACTGACATTCCAAGTGAAGCAGCCCAAACTCTCTTAAGGCGCTCATGGCTTGCAGCAACTTCCTGCCATGCGTCTTGCAACAACCCTGCCTAAATGCCAAATGGCATAATTTAGCATGATATAGTAAAACATAATCTAATATGGCTGGTAGAATATCACTACAACATGAACAGCCACCACCGACAAACCTGGCCCTTCTGCTCAGCCCAAGGCGGTCAGCAGCTCCAGCAGCACCACACCGAAAGAGAACACCTCCCAATTTGAAGTTGAGCGATTTGGTTAGGATTTAAAGTCCTACGGGTTTAGGGTTTAGGGTTTAGGGTTTAGGGTTTAGGGTTTAGGGCATGTGTGTCCTTCCAAACAAGAACGAAGGGCATGGGGGCGTGCGTCATGGGCGCAATGCCGTGTTAACTAAACCCTGAAGCCTAAACATGACAACCTAACCCTCTAAACCCCAAACACCTAACCAATAAACCCTAAACCCGAAACACTGAACCCCAAACCCTAAACCATAAACCCTAAATTGCTGAGACTTCGGTCAGACCCTCAGTTCGTACCATAGTTAAAGGTGTGGCCTTTTCAATCACAGTTGCGGCGTTTAAGTGTCTAGGGGCCTGGGGTGCATACCCACCGTTTTTGTCAGGTTTAGGGTTTTGCGTTAAGGGCCCCTAAACCCTAAACCTCTAAACCCCTAAACCCTAAAGCCTAAACGGCCAAAACACCGCTGCAGGCTTCAGAGCTTATTGGGTTCCCGAGGGTTTGGGCTGGTCGAGGCTTTAGGGTGGAATGCACTTGGAGGGGCAGGAGACTTAGTAAGTAGGTTATAAGTAGAGTTACAAGTGTCCTAAATAGAGTTACCCCAGTTATAACCCCTCTTATAACAGAAGGGTCGATCCTGGGGCGTGCGTTTGTGTATAAGGAGTTTTTGAAGTTACGTAGGCCTTTGGATCGGGCTCGTGATGCTTACTTGCTGCTCTTAACCTTCTGTTCATGCATCTTTGTTGACTTGATTTATGTCTGTATCGCCTTGTCAAGGATTCTTGTCATGGATTCTTGTCGTGGTGTGTTGGTTTGTTAAATTTGTTTTCGTTTTCCTTTACTGTGTTTATAAACACGGCGGCTGTTTATAAACACAGGCACTGTTTATAAACAAACGCTTCGCTCGAGGTAGGGGGGGGGGGCGCCAGAGGTCTTGGTACGATGCGGCCAACATCCAACACCTGCCACCCCCCCCCCCCCCCCCCCCCCCCCCCCCCCCCCCCCCCCCCCCCCCCCCCCCCCCCCCCCCCCCGCCCAATCCACCATCCGCCCGAGACGCGCGCAGCCATTCCCAATTGACGCCAACCCTCAAGTCGTAAGTGCTGGTCACAAAACTTTTTCTTAATGGAGGAAAGTGTGGAGTTAATGTGAGATACCCCAAGACCTGGTTGGATAAATTGAAATCAATAAACACTGGTATTTGCGGTGATTTCTGCTTGTCCTTCTATGAACACTTTCACGGGTTGTTTATAAATACCGGGCCTTGTTTATAAACTTGCGGGTTGTTTGTAAACATGTGGGTCGCTTAAGCGCAACAGAAATCGGGCCCGTGTGTTTCTCTGTTGTGTATACAGAGATAAACGCACTGCAGCAGCGTGCGGCTGGTACGTCCAGGCTCATCGAGTGAAACCACAAGATGTTTGTGTTTAGTATTTCAACTATACAAAATCTCTTGTAAGGCTATGTGTAGGGATGGAGAGTGTGCTACGCCTGGACCAAACCGGTTTGAGGAACTATAGGAGGACGATCCGTTATGGCTTGGAACCGACCCGGTATCCAGTGCAGCATTTTTCACTAATCCAAATGATTTTGATCCAAATACTGGCTATTTCGAAGGGGTACGGGGTACCTTATGAACAAGGGTATCGGAAGAAGCCAGAATCGGATAAGCATCAACACAAGTAGGATTCCAGTCTAGGACAGCAGCCAGATCTTCATCGATTACAGTTTGTCTTTGGTAGTCTTTTATACAGGTACATAGGCTGAACCCGCTCACATCTTTACTTTGCTTCACCGCGCAAAAACAAGGGCCCTTATGTGCATCCACATTTCGTTAACCCTATGCCAATGCAATTCGACAGCTAATTAGGCTGAATCTCTACATTGGTGTTTCAAACACTGTTACCAACAGCGGTGTTGGCTAAGCTTGCTTTGGGTAGACAGTCCAGAGTCTTAAAGGCCCGATTATCAGAGCTGCATAGAGAAACTGTCGAGCTTATGTAGCCTACCTTAAGACGTTCTTTAGAGAGTCTTGAATTCATCGATATTTACAGCGTTTTCTGTGTAAGATCTGCTACTCAAGAACCCAGATTAAGAGGCTCGACCTGCACACTGGTGTGGAGCCTGTTGGAGAGCGATTTTGCACAGCTCGAATAAGCTGTTCCGAAAAACACTTGTGATGCTTGCTTTGTGGTATGTGCTTTACGCGACACAAAACACAAGCTCCTGCTTTGGAGCCATTAACGTTGAAACCCGATAAAAAGCACTGAAACCAAACCCAGGCCCCACAGTCGACCGCTCTCTCTCTCATAAACGGCTTAGTAAGTCCCCTGCCCCTCCAAGTAAGTTTGAAGAACTAGCAAAGAGATTCCTCATGATGCAGGCGCCATGACCGAAGCTCTTCGCATGCAGAAACGCAAGAGTAGTGTTTTACAGATTTCGATGAAAGCTTCGCAGAGAAGCCTTGAGACCTAACATACGTTTTTTACACCCTCCACTGTCCACACCATACACCAATGGCCAAAGTCTGGCACCGGCAGACATTTTGAGCTCAGCGGAAGGGGTATGGGCACTGCATGCCTTGGAGACCAAGTGCCGCACAAACTTGACTCCTCCTCTGGTACTCGGCAGACCCAAGTGGGGTTGCTCTCGACATGGCGTTTCCCTTAATAAACCGAAACCTCAATCCAAAACTTCTAAGTCCTAAGGCACGCTTTTGGGACTTATATTCATGACTTATGAGAACTGACGAAACGCCCTTGGCAGACAACTCTCCAGCTGTGTGTTTACTCAGAGCTCATGCCCCAAACTCTCCACCTTAAGCCCTTAACCTAGAACCCCCATGACCTCTGCGCCTAGTGGGCACCAGGGGGCTTCTTTTAAACAGCATCGCAGCACCTCTCCTGCTGCGCCGGCGACCGATATCTCGGCTGCTGGCGCTCAGGATTCACAGTATTATCGGACCCTGAACAGTAGGGGGGCGGGCGGGCGCAAGGGTGGGAGATTACTGGGACCGACAATGGTGCAGAGTTGTCACTATTGCGGGTTTAGGGTTTAGGGTTGGTTAGTAGATTATCATTCGCGTTGTCATTATCATTGCTTACTCAAGAGGATAATGCGCTGAGGATTGCAGGCTGAGGGCTCGGCCTATGGACGAGTACCAAACACACCCCTGCGCTAGTCTTCAAGGCTTAAAACCCTCTAGGCCCTAAACTCCAGAAATGCCCTAGACCCCATGTGTCCTGCACATGCTTGGCACATAGGATTTGAGGATCCATGGAAAGCCCCCTAAAAGGTCGGAATAGGGTTCTTAGTTCTTAGGGTTTTGGGCTGTGGCTGTTTTGGGTTTTCGGGTCTTCAGTTCAGGGGCCAGAGACACCAATATCCCTTAATTTTAAGGAATAGATACCTTAAATCATATTTACGGTTCCTACTATAGTTTAAGGTATACTCCTCAATTAACGGATCTTGGAGTCCCCTCAACCCTTAACCTTATAGATCCCTTATACTGCCCCTTAGAGGAACCCTTATATGGGAGTTTCCAAAAACTGGGGTTCCTTATTTTGGGATCCTTATTATAAGGATCCTACTATTTAGGGTCATATACAGTATTTAGGGTCCCCTATTTTTCGAAACCCTAAACCCTAAACCCTAAACCCTAAACCTTAAACCCTAAACCCTAAACCCTAAACATATATCCCTTTAAAGGAACCCGAGGAGGCCCCTGAAGAGTAGGAGCCTTTCGGGGGCTTGAGGGATTCAGGGATTGCTTAAAGGATCATGGGACTTCGTAACGAGGGTTCCTTAAAAGGGCTCCTTAAAGGGATCTACAAGGGTTCCTTATAGGCTTCTATAATGGATCTATAAGGGTTTAGGGTACTTAAAGGATCATGGGACTTAGTAACGAGAGTTATAAATAAGGTAACTATACTTATAATAACTTACAACCCCAATTAGGGGACTTATAACCTTATATACTAAGTCCCCTGATCCTCCAAGTAGACCCTAAACCCTAAACCCTAGAGATCCCTTTAAGGAGCCCTATATACATCCCTTTAAGGAGCCTTTTTAGCTAAGTCCCATGATCCTCCAAGTGGGGTCTAAACGACGGGGGAGTCGGGGCTTCGGGGGATTGTAGGCGTTTACTTAAAGGAGTCTTGGGGCTTAGGTAACTTTAAAGGGCTCCTTAAAGGGTTCTATAG